TTTTAAAAGGGTTGTATATACACCATCACAATCAGTTATAGTGCTCCCTTCTATCTTCTGCATTTACTTTTTGCTCCCCTAATCCCCTCACTCTCCCCACTCCTCAACCCCTGTCCACATCCCCGATAAACCAGTGGTTGTCTCTATGTATCCACTCCTGTGCTTCACATACTGGAAAACTCAGGAGAAATGAACAATAAGAAACAAAAACAAAATGGCAAGAAGAAAATAATAGTATAAAGATAAAAATACAAGTAAAGAGAAAGAAAAGACCACCATCAATATTTTAAGAGCCAGGGAAGAAATTTCTGTCATATTAACAAGCAAGAAATACTTGAGCCTAGAGCACATTCAGGTTGGGTCAAGAGGGAGGTCGACTGACCAAGTGTCATGTTATACCATGGTTAATCCATGATAATCAATTGACAATCATCTCTGTCTGATAGGAATGCCGTTTAAGTTTCTCACCTGTGGTTTAAGGGGATGTGGCAGAGGTTTAATCTGATTTGGTACTGTGCAGATAACTTTGAGACTCCCACTATCCTCTATAGTCTTCTACAAATTGGGTGTTCAGAACTTAAGCTCTGATACTTTATCTTCATCATATTTGGATTTTGTTGTCAGCTTTGGATCACAAAGCCTGGTGTGCTTCCTCTATGTGGCCTTAGTTGATGACTCACTTATATGGGCTGCTTGTTTGAATACAAGGCTTTAAGAGCCCAGACACTGTTCCAATTGATAGTTGGGTAACATCTACTTTCTTCAGCACACACTTTGTCTGCTTTCTTTTTGAATGATGCTTTTATCTGTTTTACATTGTTTTGTTCTGTTTATTACTTTTTAAAAGATGTTTTTCTGTATATGAAATCCAGGATCAGTAAATCTATAGAGACAGCAACTGGCTTAATGTTTCCATGGAGGTATGGCAGAGGCGGCTGGAGCAAAATAGGGAGCTAATCATGATGAGTACAAGAAGGAAGAAAATATTCTAAAACTGGTTATGGTGATGATCGTACAATTCTTCTTGATGCGATTGAATGATTAAAATGTATGACATGTGAATTATATGCCAATAACACTGTTGGGAAAAAAAATAAACACAACACAGGTCTCAATTTCCTGGCCTTGCACCAAACCAGGCAAACAACCCTATCAGGCATCAATTTTACCCAGCAGCTCAGACTGAGGGTAGAAGAGACACTCTGCTTCCTCTCTCTCCTTCACCATGTAAATGCTCTCCACTGGCAAATCCAGTTGACTCTGCTTTAGGATGGAATCCCTTTGACAATTCTTCTCACCATTCATGCCGAGGGACACTCTCACCTGTATGATCACAGTCTTAGCTCAGATCCCTCTTCCTACTGTTGCTGTCTTTCAGGCTCTTCTCTAATTGTCAAAGTAGACTACGATGGCCCTCTCATCCTTTAAGCTTGCTAATGACACCCATCATAGGAAGAATAACCTCACAGCCTTCACCATGGCCTACCAGGCTTCCTGTTCTCTGACCCCTCCTACCACTCTGACGTCATTTCGTAATGCACGCTGGCATCCAAGCTGTTCCTTCCATATACCATACTTGTCCACACCTCAGTACCACTGTCTGTGTTATTCTGTTTGTGCACAGCGCACACATCCTACATCTTTCTTCTTGCTATTTGAGTTGCAGATCAAAGCCACTTCTATAGAAAAGCCTCCCTTCACCTCCCATCCTGATCATCTGCTAGCACAGTTCTTATTGTATTTTATTACTAGGATTAAGTTATTGGTTTAAGCAATAGAATATAAGCTGAATGCGTGTGATAATAATACTTGACTCAAGTAAATACTGCAATAATTTGCTATAACATGTGATATCACTCTTTATTTTTTAAAACAAAACAGGGAAACTAGGTGCAACAGATTTACAAACCTGGCTCCAGGAAAAGGGGAACATGGCAATGTCAAGAGGAAGATGACAAGAACCCTGAATCCCTTGTAGTTTTCATCCTGGAGACGGTGGGTCACTTCATGAAAGTGTTTCCTGGGACCTCAATCCCAGGCTAGAGGGAGGGAAAGGAAGAGAGAGGGTATCATCAAAGTCAGGAGGCCTGATTGTCTTCCCCAAGCGACTTGGCCTATGTTCACGTGGCCTGATTTCAAGACCCCACGGTGGACAGATCAAAACCCGAGGAGGTCGTGGTGCCATCTCAGTTGTTCTCATGGAGACACTTATGTTGAAGGAACAACAGGTGACACCTCATAGGGCCAAAGTGCATACTTGATCCCCCGAATCCACATGTTAATCTATGTATCAGAAACATGCCTCCATATGTGCTCTGTCAGAGGAGAAGAGGGAGCAGTGGTGGTTCAGAGTATACGGGGAGACAGTCATAGAAATCTAAAATATCAACAATGGGAGAGGATCCATGGAACTCAGAAAGTACCGTGTGCCCCTAGAAAGTAACTAGATGGCATCGTCTGCACTAAGTGGGGAAGATGTCAATGAGCTGACAGAGTAACAAAGAGCGTAATGAAGCAAAACGCATTTTCTTCAGGTTCCCTTAATACACCCTGAAGCTCCTCTCGGCTCATTCCCAACCATCCCCACCCACACCCACCACCAGCCTCTAACTCTTAAATCACTGGAGGTGTATTGCAGACAGGGTGGGGAACACTTGCCCGATTTCCCACTGTTTCTGGAGATGATGTGCATGCAGCTGGAGGAGGCTGTGGATACTGGATTGCAGAAGGTACTCTGGGCCTCTTTCCAGCTGGCATCCCTCACAGTCCGTTCATGATACATAAGCTTGGAAGAATGGGTCATCAGACTGTAGCACGGGTGGATAAGCACACATTCCCAACGAGGATCCAGCCCACATTCCTGCCATCCTCTCCTCTCCCTGCTTCCCAGATTCTTTGGCTGGCATGCTTTTCCCGCCCATAGAACATGCCTCTGTAGAGATTCCTGCCAGCTTCACTAGAAACTGTTTCACCAACACGCTCACCTTCACAACAACTCACGGAGGCGGGTACACTAACCCTCATATTCAATGAAGGAAACAGTCACAGAGAAGTCATGTAAATGGACGAAGGTCACGCAAGTGAATGCTGGATCCAGAATGAGAATGTACTATTCCTAAGCCATAGGCTATGCCGTTAACTACTTATAAAATCACATCTGAAATTTATCTTTTAGAATCATGCAATTGTGAGGAAATCACACCTGGTCACAGCCTCAAATTGATGTTTTCTCTGAGGCCCAAAACACAACGCTAACCTGGAATTGCTGCCAGAAAGCTGGTAGTGGGGTAAAAGGGAGACGATGTCAAGGAGTCCATGTAAAAAAGGAATGGTTGGAACCTGACTGGGGTAGCAATTGTACAATTCTACCTGACTTGATTGAAATATGGAATGACATCGTGTATGTGTTAAATGCCAAGTAATATATAAAAAGAGAGGAAGAAAAACCCCAAATGAAGATCCTGGTTGATGCACAAGCATGAGGCTGACAGATTCCTCCCACTTCAAAGACAACAATCCATAATACGCATCAAAGTTAGCCATATGATTTACACACTCACTTAAAGAGTTCCCACACAAGGTATGTCTTATTATCCCACACTGAAGGGGGTCATACAGAGATAGATGTCTACAGGGACTCTAGGGGGTGTCAGCACCAAGGAGGGCAACAATGGGAACAATGACCTGCCAATGATAAGGATCCTACACTTCTCAAGTGCATTTACCTAACTTTTTACCGCAGCCCAGAGGTGGGTATTAGTAGATTCAGTTTGCAAACAATGACTCTGAGAGTGTATGCAAGTGTACAGTGGTGGTAGAGTGTGGAATGGAGACATGAGTCACCAAAGTGCACAGTCCATACCCCTACCACCTGGGCTTTGATGGGATAGACAGGAATGGTAATGGGTTAGACAAGGGGCAAGGGACCTGGGAAGCCTGGAGACCTCGGATGGAGAACAGTGGGGGGCACGAGGAAGGGATTCCCAGACACTCACCGTCCTTGAACTTCCCATTGGCAGAAAAGAAGAGCACGTTTTCCCGAAAGGGAACACAGCTCAGGCTCCCAGGTTCCCAATAAACCTCCTGCCCACCTCTGCTTTCTGGGCCTGGATCAGGGAGGAAACAGGTGCTCATTGGCTGGGCACACATGTTGTGGTAATTACATAATCTGGGATCAACTTGAGGCTCTTAATATTGATGGGGTGGAGTCTAGCCTGTCAATTGAGTCATAGCTTCATGCCCTCATTTGGTGGAATGACAGAGATAAATAGCTCACGGGAGGCAAGACACACACTCTCTCCCTGCGAGACATTCCTGTTGACAGGCCACCTGGAGATATACTGATGGAGCCAGAGCCCTGGAGCTGGAGGAGCCATGTGGAGACCCACACCAGCGCTGAGATGCTTCCACTGCCACTGGATCCATAAGAATGTCCACCCACTGGCCTGTGATCTTCCTGCATTGGTCGTCATTGCATGCATTGCATGAGTCTGAAGAGGAATTTATAGATTGGTATTGGACATATGGACCAATATCAGACTTAAGGACTTGAACTGGACTGGGCTGGGATGTTTTCTCATTATTCAATTGCTCTTTTATATCAAAACTCTTATACAAATGAGTGTCTGTAAATTTGTTTCTCTAGTCAACCCAGACTAAAACACATGCCCACCATGGAGAAGTTGAGGTCATGCTGGGTTGAGGCAACACACTGAGGAAGTTGGCAATTTCACTTGTTGTGTGTTTCAGCAGCTGAGTCAGCACAACTGTGTGAAAAGAGGGAGGGAATATCAGAAACCGTCTCACTTATCTGGTCCCTACAACGATACCTCCCGTCCCACCCAACCTTCCCCATCACACACTCACAGGGGTACTTGCTTTTCTTCATATTCCTGCCACTCCTGGAGTATTTTGCCAAGCCACTTCTCAAAGTGGAAGGGGAACAGGAGGTGAAAGACCGGCTGGTGTCTGAAGGGAAATCATAGGACCCAGGAGTGTCACTAGGTTTGTGACATGCTCAGAACTGGTTCCTTGAGGTTGAAATCTATGGTCAGTGTGCAGCAGGCCTCATCATGGTAGGCATCAAGGGGGTTCTGCCAGTGACCATTGTCATAGATCCAGTAATACCTTTGGGGAAGCAGAGAGGACAAGCTATCGATGTTCTGGACACTTAAGTGGACTTGGAAGTCCCCCGCACAAGGAGCAGGCCTGTGCCTGGTTTGCCTGAACCATCCCATCCCTCACTGCATTAGGACTCCAGAGGGACTTACTGCTTCAGGAATTTCAAGACTAGATTCTTCCAGCTCTGCACTCCCAAGAGGCCCCCTGGAATCAAAACTGTTCAGAACTTTGACTTCCATCCGCTTCCAACCCAACTCCATAAGCCCTACTTGACCAAATCTCCTCACCTTACAGACTGGTCACTTTTTGTGACCGTCCTTGTCATCCTAAGAGGAACTCAGCGGTGCAGAGAAGGGGGATAGCATTGAATGGTCAGGGAAAACGACAGGCCAAGGAAAAAGGTGGTGTCATAGACAATCTGTGGTAAGACTATCCTAGGGTCTTCACCAGGGGACACAGAAGCCAATGCAAAACTATGGGGAAGGTCTGTAACCTTTCTGAGGTTCCCTCACAGGCCCATCCCCCTAGGAAGAGGAGGGGTCAGATCTGAACATCTAACACATTTAGATCTAAGAGGTCCATAATAAAGGGCATCCTACGTCAGGTGGTGAAGTCAAGGAAAAAGGAATACACTTTACAGACAGAACAACTTGTTGAAGAATTCCAGGAGGTCATTGTTAAAAATCAAGACAAAAGAGAAAATCAAGTAATGCCATCCTCATTGAAATAAATGGATCTAGAGCAGAACACAGCCAAGGGGCTCCCACCTACCCTCTAGTGCCACCACCCTTCAGAGACCATGGGCCCTCCTCCATGGGCTCACCCAGGGAGAGAGCAAGTGGATCTCCTCTTCATACCACACTCCCCGCATCCTTCCCCTGAGAATTCCTTCTAGGAACAGCCTGACCTCTTTCTCCAGGGACACAGAAACAGTGTGTGGATGCCAGGCTCCAGGGACTCCTTCCCATCCCTGCCTCACTTACCTCCCTCCAAGTACCCAAGTGAGTCTCTTAAAGGAGGAGGGAATGGGATTGGACCCAGGGTTCCACTACCTCACCCAGTATCTAAGGCCTCAGCCAGGCTGGCCCTGGACAGCGTCAGGAGATCTTGTAGGCATGGCCCAGGATGACTGGGCAGGTAGATGGAGGAGGCAAGGTCAGGATTCGGGGAGAAGATGAGGAGAAAAGGGGAAACGGAGAACTGGAGACCAAAAAGAAAGAAAAGAAAGAGAAGGCAAGGCAAGGGGGAACATTTACTGTTGGTGCTGCACTGAGGTATGGCCAACTGTCCGGACAGGACTCCCCGGACTTATTTTAGGGGGTCCTTAAGCTGTCTTCCTCCCTCTGAATTACCAGGGTGTATCTAGTACAGGCTTCTGTTCTTCTGGGAGATTTAAAGCTCAGTTCAATTTTTTTCCTTCTCGTTTCTGTGTGGGTTCTGCTTTTTCTGTTGGCGTTTCTCTGTTATTTATCATTTCTCAGAGAGTCAGCTCTGCAGAGTTTCCCTCCATATGTTTTCTCTATATCTATGTTTGAGGGGTCATGTAACAGATCTTAGTGCCACCTTTTAGAGAAATCTCAAACAAATCTAAGCTGAAAAGTAGAGAAAACATGGTTTTCAGAGTTCTGAAAATAGTCCCGAAACCCTCTGCCATTGAGTGGATGCTAACTCATAGCAACCCTATACCACATGGTAGAACGGCCACTGTCGGTACCCTAGACTGTATCTCCTCACTGGCGTAGAAAGCCACATCTTTCTCTCGTGGTGCGGCTGCTAGTTTGGAACTTTTAGCCTTGTAGTCAGTAGTCTTCTAGCCTTGTAGTCAGCATAGCCAGTGCACCACCAGGGCTCCATGAATTAAAGACAAAGGAGGGGAGAAGAGGGAAACGTTCCCCCACTGCTGCTGCTGCCCTGTCTTCATTGATCCCTGTCAGCACTAAGACTGGTGTCAAAATAGAAAACAGATTTTAGATGGATCCCATTGCCTTGTGCCACCTGTGTGATGCTTTCTGAGGTGGATGTGGGACATGGAGCAGTGAAGGGGCTGGAGATCGTCTCCAGTGGGTCAAAATTCAGGTTAGTGCATAGCATGGCATGGAAAGGCTTTGGTCCCTTTGAGCATTGACACTTTATCCCCTAATGATCCCTTTGTAAGACTGCCCATACAAGTTGGTTGCTTGTCTGAAGAATCAGATTATATTGATTTACCCAGAGTTTCAAAAGAATCCGGCAGGATGACATGGCATGGTGTAGCGAGTTCACCCTGATTGGATAGCCATCTGGTAATCTTTTCTGCCCCATTCTTCAGTATTTTTGTATTCTCTAGCTCCCTGAGGAGGCCCTGTGGTCACTGCAGACGATCCCCTTATGACCCACTGACCTAGGGAGCCCAGGAGTCTCCCCTTACAGGGCCCAGTTGCTGGCATTGAGTGAAAGGAACAGATGGCATGCTATAAGTCTTCCCACCCCCAGACTCTGCCCTCCAATATGGCAGGAGAGGCTTCATACCAGGCTGGGACAGGTTTGATGACCAGTTGGGAACAAGGCAGAAAGGCAGCACTGGGCCAAAGGAAAGGCTCTGATGGAGGAGGGCCTGTCTCAGCAGGAGACCCTGTTCAGGAGGAGCATTCACATTCAAGGCCGGTAGGGATTGGTTCAAAGCAGCCCCACTGCAGAAGCAGGGAATGCTGTGCACACTTCTGGTCCTGGGGAGGAAGGGAGAGCCCTGTTCCTGGGCGGCCTTGCCAGAGAAGGCTGGATGAAGAGGGCTGAGAAACAGAGGGGAGCAGAAATCAGGCGAGAGGAAGGCAGGGAGACTTGTCAGCATAGAGAAGAGAGGGCAGGCCACGTGGTCCCCTGAGAGGATCTGGGTAGATCATGCTCCGGGAAGCAACAGAGAGAACAGCTGACCTTACATTGGTGGGCTTATCCGGCAAGGTGGTGCACAGAGGCTTTCCATCTGCATACATATCTTCTGGCTCCAGCCCTTGTATCCCGTCCATCTCCCACCCAGCATTCACATGCAATTATGAGGAGGGAACATGAATCAGGAAGTGTGACCCAGGAGGGTCCTTTGCCCTCGATTCCACCATCTCCCCCAAATCGTCTTACCACCTTTCTCTTGTCATCACCCTGATAAGCTCTGTCTCCTTCCTGTCAACGAATGTTTTAGCTACTGCTTCTTACCTTCTTTTCTAAGAGGTTCCTGTTCTTGATGCTGGGATTCTTCTGCACTATGCTGGACAGGCCAACCAGCTGGTAGGGTTTCGTGTTGCTTGGGTAGAAGCACAAAAGCTGTGGTGTGATAAAAGAGCTAGAGCAAAGGCTCCAAGAAGTGATATCTGGAACAATCTGCCTTTCTCCCTATCTGTCCCACCTTCACCACCACTTTCAGTACTAGTCTCAAGGCCTCCCCTTGGGCACGTTCTCTTCATGGACTAGAAGCCATGTCTTTTCTGCCCTTTGCTCCCATTGCAGTATCATGGTGCATTACTCCCTTAGAAAGCCAAGGAGGAAGGGATTAGGAGAATCAGAAGGGCCTGGCTGGACCAACCTTATCACCAGCACCTCTCTAAATTTCCCTCTAACAATTGCCCCCAGAATGATCATTCTGTCCTCACCTACCCTAGAAATACAGCTGGAAAACATACCTGGGGCTGAGTGCAATCTCAGGAAGTCAGGTGCTTCCTGACAGTTCTCTCCTTTCACCTTAATCACCTGCCCAGACAGATGGAGGGCTCAGTGACTTTGAGGGTGAGGAGCATCTGGTGAGGGAAGAAGCACTGTTGGGTCTGTGTGTACGTTTATGTCCCGAGTCTGCATTTATTTCATCAGTTTCACATTGTTTGACTTCAGCTCCTTCTGCACATACTGGGAATGCTCAGAGAGGCTGTCAAAGAGAGGGATCTGCAGAAAAGACAAGAGAGGTTGGATAAGTACCAGGACTTCTGAAAACTAAGATCAAGAAAGACACCTGTCCCTCCTGGTTTTCTCTCCTGCTCTTAACTATTGCTGGCCATGCCCTGACACACCCTATTGTTATCCTCATTCCAAATCTTGCCACTGATGCACTTCAATGTAAAGCCAATGCATTTTTAGCAAAGAACCTGGTGAGGTGGTTAGTTTATTGTGCCAACCTGGCCGATAAACACATGTGGGGTTAATTGAAGGGTGGAGAGATAATGGCTCAGTGAGGCTCAACTTTCTATTTCTTGGGTCTCTTGCTTTCTGATGGTTGGACCAGGGTGCAGCTGCCTTAGCCAGTTCTCTGCTTCAGCTTGCAAGGCTCACTTCCTGCAAGATATCCCCAAGGAGAAGCTGCATGGATCTGCTCCGATGCAGCCCTGGGTGCTGGAGCAGCTGTGTGGAGACCCCTGCCAGCGCTGAGATGCTTACACATTCACTGATTTGGCTTTCCTCCTGCAGTCAGCATCACTGCATCTGTTTTGTGAGATGGGGGAGCACTTTGAGGATTGGTGTTAGACATATGGATTAATGTGTTAATGTTGGACTTGTGGGCTTGGGCAGCACTGGGTTGGGTGTTTTCTTGATGCACACTTAACCTTTATATAAAACTCTCTCTTGTACATGAGTTTCTGTGGATTTGTTTCTTTAAAGTACCCAGACTAACATACCTGGCCTGCATTTTCTCATAGTGAATCTTCAGTGACAGGAACAAGAAAATGAAAGACAACAGGAGGCCAGACTATGCTTAACCTGGCCCCTGCACCTGCTCTGTGTCCACTCTCCTTGTCCTCTTGTAGTTAGGCTTGCATTTCTTCTGGATCAAATTGAGCACTCCCTTTATCATATTTCCTGCCAAATGGAATCTTGGTGCAACAATAGGCTGCAAGAAGTTATTGACATGACAGAAATAAATCTCAAAGAGACCCAACCATATCTCTCTTTCACACCTTTGAGCAAACTTTAAAATAACATTTAAACACAGGCCAACATCCATTATTTATCATTTTTGTTCCAGACGTAGGTCTTCTACTTACCTTTTCTGTATATTCAAATATTTTCGTTCAAATAACCAACTTCAAGTCTTTGACGTGCCCTTAGTTTGATAAGGTTCCAGGGAAGCTGGCAGCCTTGCCTTTTCCTCTGACCCAAGAGACTCAACTCCATCCCTCCTCTGTCCTCCAAGCCTTCAGTTTGAATGACGCAAAGTCATGAAGTCAACCATCGTTCCATCTCCCCGTCAGCAGTTTCCATCTTGCCTGTAGACAACCTGCGCATTCTCCCTGCTTTCAGTCTGTTCCCTTTTTATGACTTCTCCCAACCAAACTTAAGACAAATTGAGGATGTTAGCCTCTAGTGATGAAAGAGGACAATTTAAGAAATCCCAGTGCTCGAGCAAAGTACCCAAGATCTTCACATGAGGTCAGCACAACCACCCAATCTGCTCTCTTACTATGTTGAACCACATCCTGGTGCTTCCATCTTGCCTGTTACCTTCTGTCCCTCCCTCTGTTTTTTTCCTTCTTTTTTCTTTCTTTTCTGCCTCTCCATGGCACCTTGGATTTGGTTTTCTTTAAGATAGCTATACCTCTGATATAGATTGAGATGGCATTGCAGGTGCTGTGTAAATGTAGAAATAAAAAAGTTGTCTGTAAATGCCATGAAAGATTTCTTACGCCTTGTCCTACTGATATCAAAGCTATTCGCTCAACCTTGAACCTGGTCCTAGAATTCAACAAAGGAAGACTTGTGGCAAATTGCATTAGGAGTCAGGCTGTTAACCCCAAGGTTAACAGTTTGAAACCCCTGGCTGCTTCCTGGGAGAAAGATGAGACTTTCTGCTCCCATAAAGATGAACAATCTTGGAAATCCACAGTGGGAGCTCTCCTCTGTGCTATATGATCGCTATGAGTCAGAATAGACTCAATGGTAGTGAGTTGTTGGATTTTGAGAATTCTTCATTCTACCATGCTGGAGAGAAGGTGATAAGTGACAGAGTTAAATATATCACTACATATTCCCCTGCCTCCCTCGTGTCACCATATTAATGGGACGCTTACTATCTTGTGCAGTTTCCATGTGGGCATTGGTCATGGCCACATGTCCATCTTGCTCCTGGTGAGATGCGGGATGAATACCATTACTGACTTGTTCAGACCTCCTTCAGGTGGTACCATAGCATCTCACTGTTCTTTGGAAAAAATCAACTTGGTGATTTTGCCCTAAACTTAGAAACAATGTATCAATGGTCTGAATGCCATAAAAAGTCCTGGGGAAGGATAATGACCAGTAAATGAAGGGACTCGTTTTTTCTACTTTAAGAAGAAATATACCACAGTTCTACAACAGTTAAAAGGCATTGCTATGTTTCTCCTTCTATAGATTGGAGAGGTAGGGTGTGTTTGTAATCCAGTAGATAGCAGAGAGTAAAGGGCTTGGGCACAGGGACTATTCTGAGATGGCTGTCCCTGCTCTGCCATTTGCAGTCTAGGTGACCAGGGACAAGTTGCTTAACATGTCTAATCTTTATTTCACTTTTCTGTTGTAAGGGAATGACAAAATCTACCTCAAATATTTGTTTCCGTGGTTCAGAGGTCAAAGGCAAACTATACAATTAAAACAAAATTTTTATTGAGATATAATGAACATATCACACAATTCAATAGTTCAGTCATATTAAGAAGGGTTGTGCAATCATCACCACAATCAACTCTGGAGCATTTTCTTCCTTTTTAAAACCATTGCTGTTGACTCTCCATTTCCACCTACCTCCCTTTCTGTGCCCCCAGGTAATTATTAATCTGGTAAGTGATCCGCCCATCCTGAATTCCCTATACAGAAAATAGTTACAAACCAAAAACATGAAACAAAAAGTACCCAGCAACAATGGCTACATAAAACCAACAAAAACTTCAATGGAAAAGAAGGCAGATTGTATTTAAAAGCTAGAATAAATTCAAACTGGGTCAAAAGGAAGATCAAATCTGATTACAGCTACTAAAATCCACTTTACGATGCTCTTTGTCTGACCTCTAAGCTATTGATATACCCTGACTATAGTCAGTGGGTATGTACCAAATATTCAATTCAGGTAGGCACCCTGCAAATGGATTCGAGGTTTACAATATCATCCATAGTGTTATGCACCCAGGTTTTTAGATTATAGGCTATCTTACCATTCCCTCCTCTGTGTTTGGATTTTATATATTTACAACCCTTGGATCACACAGTCTGTTGTGCTTCTACCATATGGACTTAGCTGACTTCCCACTTAGATGGCTACTTGTGTTGAGACAAGCCTTTAAGAACCCATACAATATTAAATTTGCTGACATTTTTTAAACTTCACATATCATACAATTTAATCATATTTTTAAAATGTGTGCAATGATCACCACAACCAGTTTCAGAAAGTTTTCTTTTCATACTCATTGTTTCTAGCTCCCCATTTCCCTGACCTTCCCTACCATGCCCTTAGGGAATTATCAGTCAAATTGCTGTCTCTATAGACCTACTGCACCTAGACTACATATTTGAAAAATCCTACAAAATACAAATAGGAAGCAAACAAACAAAACGACAATGAATAGGCAAAACACAGAAACATCAAAAAGAAAGAAAAAAATATTAAACATTGAAACAACATTGACTGTAAATTGGGTCAAAAGGGTGATCAAATGATAAGGCATTACATTTACCATAACTACATCTACCATAATTAGTTTTACCATATTCTGTGTGCCATAGAAAAGTTATTCACATCACTGGACTATGTTCAGAGGGTATTATCCGTAGCCTCAGGCTTAGGGGGGGACACTGAAAATTAACTTTGGGCTTCCATTGTCATTCATGGCATTTTGGAAACCAGATGTTTGAAGATGGTGTCCAGGGAGAATTCACCTGCCTGGTGCTACTGTTGTTAGGTCAGAAAATGAAGAGTTAAGGAAGCCAATATTGGGAGGCTGGGTGCTAAAAATAGATTCCATGTACTAGGGTCTGGTTCAGACCTACCCCTGCAATTTTCACCCACTGAGCATTTTGAGAACTCCCTGAAACGCTCTAAGTTCACTGCATGTGCCTGTGAGTTCCACTAATCCCCACCAGGTCCAGCAGGATGGTGTCTGCCACCCCTTCCTGCACTCAAGATCCGAGACCCATACCATGTGGGAATTTTCCCAGACTGCCGTCTAAAGGTGGTCATAATTGCAGGCTCTCAGAGATCCTTGAATACTAGCCTCAAGACCTCACACCAGCTTTCCCCTCTTTGCTATCCTCCCTGCTCCTGCATTCTTGGGCTTTGCATCACCCCTCCCCAGCCAGGAATGGAGTGACTACATTGGCCAACCCCATTCCCTCTCTCCCCGGCTCCACTTATGCCAGTGTGGGTAACGATAGATAAACACTATTTTGTAGCAATGGAAGAGCCCCTGGGATATTTACCCATGACAGATTGCAGATGCCTGGAGGACAGTGTGCAGAGCTGTGCAGGAGAGAGCCTGGAGTGACATAGATGTGCAGCTGAGGGAGAATTCAGATCCAGTCAGCCCCCAAACCACTCAGCTACTCTGGTCTCTCTTTCCTGGGGAACATCAGGTCACAGCCTGGACACCAGGACACCTCACAAGCCCATTACACACACACACACACACACACACACACACACACACACACACACAAATCAAAACCCTTTTAAATCCCATGCAGCGTTGCTTTCTGTAACTTTGAATGTTAGCCACCAGAAACCTAGTCCATTAACATAATATTAGCATAACAAGACAAAAATTAGGTCCCCAGAGCAGAACATAGGATTTTTCACATAACAAAACGGAAAAAGCCCACAGGAGCTGAAGGCCACAGCCCTAGGCAAAAACTGGCTCTAGGACCAGACCTCAACTTCCAAGCCTTGAGGACAACATACTGGCATGAATCAGTGAGCTAACAGAGGGAACTGCAAGATTGGGCTGGCCCCTATCCCGGCTACATCGACCCCCTTCCACAGAAGAATGCACTACAGAAGACAGCAGTCAAGGTACAGCCAGGGAGAGTGGCAGGTCTTCCCAGACCACATGGGAGCAAACTAAGAGGGATGAAAGGGTGAGGGAGACAGAGAAGCATACTGGCCCACGAAGCTTCCAGGAAAACATTCCTGCTCACAGCAATCAATGCACAGAGAGGACCCTAGGGTTGACCCAATCACAAGACACAATACCCCATTACTAATCCACAGTGCTACAGGGGCAGCACCGGAAACACAGTGTGGGAACTGTGCCAGGTCTGACCCCCTACACCAGGGTGTGACAGGAAGAGAGCACAACAGAGCAGCAAGGGGTGCAAAGCAACAACATTCCCATGTAATTCTGAAAATCGACTTTGGGCTTGGGGGGAAGGACTTGGCACTGCATCAGACCCAATTAGAAATCATTCATAGGGATCAGCAAACAGACCTGGAACTATTCATAAGCTATTTTCTCTCTCTCTCTTTTTTCATACCTTTCTATATGATAGGCAGGATAAACAATCCTGAGTTGAAAATAACAGGACTACTTATGCACCCATTTTGTCTTCAGTGATCATGTCAGGAAGGTGAGCATCACAGAATGTCCATCTGCAAACTTAATCCTTCCCATACTGATATGAGTACATAAAAAGCTGATGGTGCCCAGATGTCAAAAGATAATAGCGTCTGGGGTCTTAAAGACTTGAAGATAAACAAGCGGCCATCTAACTCAGAAGCAACAAAGCCCACATGGAAGAAGCACACCAGCCTGTGTGATCATGAGGTGTTGATGGGATCAAGTATCAGGCATCAAAGACCCAGAATAAAACCATACCCAATGTGAATGAGGCAGGGC